AAAATCCCTTCCGACACTTGAGAAACGGAAAGAAGAAAAATACATAAGAACAGTCAGTGTGGTTCAGCACTCAAAGAGAAAGTACTGGTGTTCCTACTCATAATTTATAAAGAGACATTCTCTGCTAGAGAGCTCGGACACTGTTGCTCAGGGAAGTGAACTAGAACATTCCAGGCCTCTCACCAAACTACAGCTCCCAATATTCCATTGGATCAGACACGGACAAACTTCGGCCCTCCAGGTGTTTTGGACTTCAACTCCCACAATTCCTAACAGCTTACCGGCTGTTAGGAATTGTGGGAGTTGAAGTCCAAAACACCTAGAGGTCCGAAGTTTGCCCATGCCTACATTATATGGAGTCATGGAAATTAAGAGTGGAATCAAAGTGCTATAATTATGCCATGTATACACATCCTGGGCCTCCTGGTGGCGCAGTGGGCTAAACTGTTGAACTGCTGAACTTGCTGACTGAAAGATCAATGGTTCGAATCTGGGAAGCAGGGCGAGCTCCCACTGTTAGCCCAGATCCTGCCAAACTAGCAGTTGGAAAACATGCAAGTGTGAACAGATCAATAGGTACTGCTTCGGCAGGAAGGTAACGGTGCTCCATGCCGTCATGTCACATAACCTTGGAAGTGTCTACAGGCAACGCTGGCTCTTGGGCTTAGAAATAGAGATGAGCACCACCCCCCTGAGTTAGACACGACTAAACTTAACATCAGGGGAAACCTTTACCTTTACCTATACACACCCCATGAAAAATTTTGAGATAACAATTTCATTTTCTTTATATATTTTTAAAAAACTTCTTCAATGGTAGTGCTGGCTTTTGGCAAAATTAAAAACCCCAATAAATCTAACTGACTGGCTGCATTTTTTGTGGTTTTCTTGTTGGCTTGTTTATTCGGTCTTGGATCCATTGTCGATCGATTTCTGTGCAACACTCTGAATTTTAATATCTCAAGAGAGACAAGGAGAGAAGTAGTACAAGGCATTGCCCCCAAACTGTTCATGACCATACAGATTTCTCTAATCTAAGAAATCTTTTCTTTCTAAACAGAAAAAGCCTTAGGTGCTTTCATCTTTCTTCTCCCATCATGAAACTGGATGTCCTACCCCAAGAACATCCACTTGTTTAATGATGATGTTTGCCCTAATAAAAATCATGACCCTGTTCTTTAAACTTTGCCACAAACATTAAACAACTTTCACACGGGTGTATCTCACAGCAAGGTGAGTAGATAAATAGGTACTGCTTTGGTGGAGAGGTAAAAGGTGACACTGAAGATATGCCAGCAATTTGTTCAGGAAGGCATCCATGGATAACAGGCTCCTCGGCGTGGAAAAACGGAACAACAGCACCTCCCTATGGCTCAGTTGAGCACAGCCTCCAGATGCCGTACATGAAAAAGAGGGAAGCCTTGCCTCTCTCTATGTATTGTCTGTCTTTGTTAATTGTATAATGGCATAGAATGTTTGCCATATATGTATTTTGAAATCTGCTCAGGGAGATAGAGCGGAATATAGGTAAAGGTTTCTCCTGACATTAAGTTAGGCATCTCCGACTCTGGGGGGTGGTGCTCATCTTCATTTCTAACCCAAAGAGCCGGCATTGTCCATAGACACTTCCAAGGTCATGTGGCCGGCATGAATGCATGGAGCACCATTGCCTTCCTGCTGGAGCGGTACCTATTGATCTACTCACATTTGCATGTTTTCGAACTGCTAGATTGACAGAAGCTGAACCTAACAGCAGGAGCTCATTCCACTCCCCGGATTTGAACCACCAACCTTTCGGTTACCAAGTTAAGCAGCTCAGCGGTGTAACCTGCTGTGCCACCAGGAGGCCTTACAGAGTGGAATATAAATAAAGTATATTATTGTATATATCTCTGTTGATGTAATGCCCCAAATCCTATAAATGGATGGTGCTTCTCAATAAAGTTTGTCTATCTTGGCCAGTGCTGCAAATGGGTTGAATTGAAAACAGCCTTGGGTATATTTTTATTTTGCAAAATAATACTTGTGTGTTTGTTTTCTCCCTAATTTGATTTAGGGCCCCGAAATCCAGCTCCATGTTGTAACTCAGAAGAAAATGGTTGTCTAATATCTTAACCCAATCCAACATTGCTGTCTTCTTCAAAATTCGATCCTGCATTTTCTGATTCCATGGAGCAGAAGATCTTCCTTAGTTTTCCCCAAAATGTTGTTCACCTGTGATCTTTCACAGAGGTTCTGTAGTACAGTCAGCTCTCCTCATTAGTTGGAGTTAGGGGTACAGGATCCTCATTAAAATGAAAAAAACCCCCACAAATAATAAAAATGCTAGTTATTTTACACCTCTCTGGGAATCTCCAGGTTCCCTGGCATTAATGTATGGTCTTCTTCTGCCAGAAACTGAACATAGAATTGGTATTGGAGAACCTAGAGATTCCCAAAGAAGTGGAATCTCTTGGAATCTCTTGAGTCTTCTATCATGACTCTGTGATGAGCTGACTGTAGAGGGAATAGACAAAGATATGGGCAAACTTCGCCCCTCCAGATGTTTTGGACTTCAATTCCCACAATTCCGAACAGCCAAAAACAGCAAACCAAAGAAGGTGTACACTTCAGGAAATAACCAACACATTATAAACAGACAAAAGATTAAATAGAGAAGGCTTGAGAAGGTTGCTATCTCCAACAAGATTTGTTCAGAAAGTTTGATTTACTCAGGGGCACCAAATGGATTCAGTGGGATTCAAACCTCATCTCCAGAGTTGTAATCCAGTGCTCAAGCCACTATTGCAAACTCTTGGAATTCCATACGATGTAACTATGAAGAAAACTGTAACTGCAGAAAACTCCTGATATACCTTTAAGGATTCTGCAGAAGAGGAAATCTCAATAAGTGTTGCTTGTCTTGCAAACAGGTAATAAGCAATATATGTTTTTAAAAGATTCTATACACCCACAAAAGGATTCATGTGATGGCATGGCCAAGCTTTTGGGAAAAACTATAGCGTCTGGCTTTACTCAGGGGCTATCTGTATACCTTCTGTTAAGATTGAGACCCTTAACACACAAAGGCACTTTAGGCAAGGTGAAAAGATAACCAAAATGAGTTTACTGAAAACAAGATGAATAAAGGGTGAATTCCACCCGGAACTATTATAAGGTAACTTCAAACAGTACATTACAAAAGGTGCCTTTGCTTGCTTCAGTCATCTCTCTGGAGTCTTCTGCCTCTGGTGCAAAGCGATGGTTTACAATCTGTTGCTTCTAAGCTGTCTCTATCTTCTTTCTTGTGAAGCTTAAGCTGGTCAAAAGCTTATGTTGTCACTGGGACTGGTGGTATAAGAATACTGCTGAATGCAGGTGCTAAGGATGCTTGTTTTTGGATTGCTTGGCCCTAGGATTACCAGACAATACCCAAGCCTCTGTTCACTGTAACTCTGCTGCAGAAAAAGGGAGGAGTCCAGCAAAAGAGCTCTATATAGGCAAATGGAATAGACCAAGGCTGGCCTCGGGGGGGGGGGGGGGGGGGGGGTATGCTCCACCCAAAAATTAATACAAAGGAAGATATCTACACTATTGGGAAAACCTATAAACAGGGGGAACTGAAGCAGAGGAGAGGAAAAGGCGGAGCTAAGACTTCACAATTCCATTACAAGTACATTGAAAAAATACAATGCAATTCAAATACAGGAATAGTTTCCCATTTTCAGTCTAGTAACTGAATGCTGATATGATTGGGTTGTGTAGCGTGAAAGAGTCCTTAGTCAACCCATAGACCAACTCATGTCATCACTAGAGACTGTTACAGTAAGTTGTAGCAGGACCAAGTGTATGTGTGTGTTGAAGAAAAACCTAATGATGGTAATTGTTATGTGCAGCTGGTAATGTAGGTCAACCAGCAAACTTGGACCACACCAGATGGGGTTATAACTGTGTGGGTTTTTTAGAATACAGTGGGGTGGTGGAGGAGAGCTTTTTCTCAGGGGAAATCTATGCTCAAAGGCTTTGCTTTGGGGAGCAGGTTGGAGAGAAGCTGTTATGCTGCTCTAGAGGAGGCTATGGTGGAATAGCTGTTTGTTCAAAGTTCATATTTTGGTCTCTCATTTGAATTAAGATGAAGATGCCTTATTTTGTGTTACTTACAAGGACTATGTAAATTTCTTGCACTATGTTTTTTGTATGGAACATCAAAGATTTATGTTCCATTTCTGCTATTAAGAGTAAAGGTTTTTTCTGCTCATTTTTCCTCTTGTCTGTGAGTCTTTTGCATTTGGGCTTGGGGCATTGAATAGAATTTGCTTGCTGCACAACAGAGACACCCACAAATGAAACACAAGTTGCCTTTATGAACTGTATGGTCAGGTTTTGAAGCCAATAAAATGAAATAAAAGGAGGAAAATGTAGCAGCATTTGGTCCAAGAGGGAGGGAAGATCCAAGAGGGAACATCAAATGACAGAGAGTGGTGCTGTCTCTCTGTCTCCAAAAACTGTCTCCATCTGGATGATAGTTGATTAAATCACAGCAAATCATTGCAGTAGCGCACACTGACCTACCGCTGGCCTGAAATTCCAGACTTCTTTGGAGGATGTTCTAAGAAAGCATTTCCAGACAGTACAGTGACTAACTAGTAACAATTGTTGTGCCATTTCCTATTGCAGCTGCTTTGAAATTATATATGGTACAGAGAGAAATGTTCTTTCTCTTATAATATGAGAAGTCTAACTAGAAGTAAATTCAGAGCTCCAAAAAGAAAGCTAGCCTTTATACAGTATATATCCTCTTTCTTCTCCTCTGTTTATATTTAACTACACTTGGTGGACCATTATGCACGTGTGGACCATAATGACGGATCTGTTTATATTTCTTTCTTTCCTTCCTTCCTTCCTTCCTTCCCTCCTTCCTTCCTTCCTTCCTTCCTTCCTTCCTTCCTTCCTTCCTTCCTTCCTTCCTTCCTTCCTTCCTTCTTTCTTTCTTTCTTTCTTTCTTTCTTTCTTTCCTACAGTTTGGAAAAGTTGTTTTTTCTGTACTCCAGCCAGCATGGCTAAGATCATGCAGGGTACATACTAGATTGCAGAATTAATGCGGTTTGACACCACTTTGATTGCTATGGCTGAATACTGTGGAATCCTGAGAGTTCTAGTTTAGCAAGGCACCAGCACTCTTTGGCAGAGAAAGTAAGTGTTTGAGAAAGTAACAGCTTTGCTTTCTGATGGTTCGGTGTACACAATTTCATTTCATGCACACAATTATTTAAAAATATTTATTTATTTATTTATTTATTTACTGTGCTTATATACTGCTGTTCTCAGCCCGAGGGCGACTCACAGCGGTGTACAACATAGAAAGGACAGGGTACAATTTACAAGATACAATCTAAAATCAATCTAGCAATAACCAAAAAACATCGTCATCAGAAACATCAACAATATCACTAATACAAAAAGCCATTCGCGTCGTCTCATCATTAAACCACAATCCAGTATCATTTTCCGTTGATCCATTCCTGTTGTCATTACCAATTATTGCACTTCTTGTTCGAACGCCTTCTTGAACAGCCAAGTCTTTAGTTTCCTGCAAAATATCAGGGAAGGAGCCAGTCTGATGTCCACGGGAAGGGTGTTCCACAGCCAAGGAGCCACCACCGAGAAGGCCCTGTCTCTTGTCCCCGCCAGGCGTGCCTGTGAGGCAGGCAGGATCGAGAGCAGGGCCTCCCCGGACGATCTCAAAGTCCTCGTGGGCTCATAGGCCGAGATGCAGGAATATTGGATAAAATTATATTCCAGCTATGAAATATGAATGAATTTTGTATTTACACTTGAGTCCTGTCTCCAAGATATCTCAGTAGGTACATACATAGAAATACAAGTACAGTGTTCTCTGGCTACTTTGCGGTTTGATTTACGCAGACTCGCTGTTTCACGGGATTTTGAAAATATTAATTAAAAATATAAAATATAAAATATTTACTTCTAGTGGAGGCCAGAGGCCCTGGAGGTGCGGCAGCCTAAGGTGCGGTGGGGAAGGCCTGCCTCCCTGGCCTCCACAGACCCCGGAAATGCGATGGCCTGAGGCGCAGTGGGGAAGGCCTGCCTCCCTGGTCTGCCACTGGCTCCAGAGGCTCTGCTGGGGTCTGCGGAGGCCAGGGAGGCAGCCAGGCACCCTCGGAATGGGCCAGGAGGCGAATAAGGAAGGGCAAGTAAGAAAATAATACATAATATATATATAAAATAATGTATAAATATTAAAATTAATATGGCGTCCTTACTTCATGGATTTTCCCTTGTTGCAGGTGGTCCTGGAACAGAACCCCTGCAATAAGTATTGTATTGCAAAATCAAAAAATCTCAGAGGCCAAGTATTTTGGATAAGGGATATTTATTTATTTATTTATTTAAAGCTTTTATAACCCGGTCTTCTTGACCTCCGAAGAGGGACTCAGGCCGGCTAACAGCAGGAAATTAATACACAAGTAGGATAAAACATAATAGCATCGTAATACATTAATACATAAAATACATTAAAATACAGATTATACAATTACAAAAAGCCAGGTTGTCAAAGTAAAATCACAAATTCATCACCATCCGCTGGTGTGGTCAGCATCTATTGACTCGATCATCATTCTGCAAATGCTATGTTCCAAAGCCAAGATTTTACCAGCTTTCTGAAAGTCAGGAGGGAAGGGGCAGATCTAATCTCCAGCGGGAGAGAGTTCCAGAGTCGAGGGGCCACCACCGAGAAGGCCCTGTCCCTCGTCCCCACCAAACGCAATTGCGAGGGTGGTGGGACCAAGAGCAGGGCCCCTCCAGAAGATCTTAATAACCTTTTTAAAAAAATATATTTTATTGAATTTTCTGTGACATAATTTAAAAACAAGGGGGAAAAAGCGGGCAAATAGTGCGAAGGAAAGGGGAGGGAAGGGAAAGGGGAAAGGCAGGGGAGGGATGGGATGCTAGGGCGAGAAAAAGAAAAAGGAAAAAAAGTTGAAGATCTTCGTGGCTTCCTAAGTAAGTTGGTGAAGATGTTCTCCTTTTCTCTGTCTTCTATCCTTCCGTCTGTCGTAGACTTCTCTCCTTCCTTCTTCCTAGAGGTATTTTCTTTTATTTAAACGATTGTCTTATATTTTATCTCCTTTAAATAGTCAGTAATTTTTCCCCAATTTGTCTCTTGTGTCGGGTTATCCTTACTTCTGGATATTAGAAATGTGAGTCGGTCCATATTTCTAATGTCATACACTTTCTGTAGCCATTCTTCTGGTTCTGGTATTTTTTCCTTCTTCCATGATTTTGCATAACACATCCTTGCCGCTGTTGTTAGTAAAAATAGTAGTTTGTCAGTATTTTTTTCCATTTTTGATGTTGTCATTCCCAGCAGGAATATTTCTGGTTTTAGTTGAATGTTTTGCATTATTTCATGTATTTTTTTCCAATACGACTTTGCCTTATCGCATGTCCACCACATGTGAAACAGAGTACCTTCCTTCTTTCTGCATTTCCAACAACTTGTGTTGACATTACTATAGCATTTGCCTAATTTATACGGTGTCATATACCATCTATATGCCATTTTTAACCAATTTTCCTTAAGATCTGTTGCATACGTATATTTTAATTTCTTTGTCCAAATTTCCTTCCATTTCTCTATTTTTATATTTCTTCCAATATTTTCTTTCCATCTCTTCATATATTCCTTTTCTTCATTTGGGTCCTTGTTCCATTCTCTTAATTTTTTGCATATCTTTGTTATTATTTTTTCCGTCTGCATTATAGTGTCCCAGAATGTTGTTTGTTTTTCGAAGGATCTTAACAACCTTGATGGTTCATAGGGGAGAATCCGTTCGGACAGGTAAACTGGGCTGGAGTCGTTTAGGGACTCAACTTGTATTCTTTTTTTATTTTATAAACCAACTTGTACTCAAGTTTTGGAATCATAGAATCATTGAGTTGGAAGAGACCTCATGGGCCATCCAGTCCAACCCCCTGTCAAAAAGCAGGAAAATCACATTCAAAGTACCCCCAACAGATGGCCATTCAACCTCTGTTTAAAAGCCTCCAAGGAAGAAGCTTCCAACACAGTCTGGGGTAGAGTTCCCCTGTTGAACAGCTCTCACGGTTAGGAAGTTCTTCCTCATGTTCAGGTGGAATCTCCTTTCTTGTAGTTTGAAGCCACTGTTCCGTGTCCTAGTCTCCAGGGCAGCAGAAAAAAAGCTTGCTCCCTCCTCCCTATGACTTCCCTTCATATATTTAGGAAGGAAAGGTAAGATATAAATAAAGCAATTAGATAGTATGGCTTAATCTGTAGCTGAGCAGTTAGGATAAACCATAACCATCAAGGTTCAAAATGCAAAGCAAGGGTCTGATTTTGGAGCATCTGTCTGCTTCATGGAGTCTGAAGGATCGGATACCTCACCACAGGAGAGATTAAAACCAGCCTCAATTGCCTCAATTGCCTATTGAATCAAATAGAGGAAGGAAGAAAATTATTCCACCTAAATATGAAATTGAGGCAATAAAAATGAGCCTATGTAGCATTTAGTAAGCAGTAAAGCTCCCATTAGCTAGATAGGGGTCAGCTGAGAACATCTCCGCCAGATAATGAAAGGGGATGAGCAGGAAAGGAGTGCCAAGTTTGATTATGAAAATGTAATGATTTTGTTGAGGCCCGAACCACTGCAATCTATACTGAGGAGGTTGCCTTGCTCAAAGGGCTTATTGGGAATTGAAACAGATACAAACATACACACTTTCTGTCAAATGTGTAAAGATCCATTTCTGCAGTGTAGCTAGTTTTGGATAGGGCAATTGCAGAAAAACTTCGATGGGTGATATTTTTTTTCATATCAGGAGCAACTTGAGAAACTGCAAGTTGCTTCTCGTATGAGAGAATTGGCCATCTGCAAGGATGTTGCCCAGGGGATGCCCAGATGTTTTACCACATGAGAAGCTAGAGTTGACAGACGGGAGCTCACCCTGCTCCCCGGATTTGAATAGCTGACCTTTCAGTCAGCAGTCCTGCCGGCAAAAGGGTTTAACCCATTGCGGCACCAGAGGCCAATTAGCAGGGAATTATTTTTTACTTTTGTTATGAACTCCAGACTATTCCTGTTCTTTTGATGCAGAGTGTACAAGGAATAGGCAGTTTAGATCAATGAGACACTTCAGAGACCAAATCTGGTTTTAACACTTTTCATGTAACCTTTATTGAACACAATCACCTTAAAATCACATCGGAATCACATCAAGAGAGAGTTCTCATTCATTCATCTCAAGCATTCATACATACAGGCCTCTCTGGACAAAAATGATCAACTTTTTCTGAGAGGATGGATATTTCACTGCTGCGATTCAGGAAACGTGCTTAATTTCAGTTGCCTCCTGCATTTATAGCCCAAAGTAAATGCCCTAAATGGTTCTGTAGCCCTAAACGGCTCTGGCCCAGGCTACATGTCCGAACGTATCATCTCCTATGAACCAGCACATAGATTAAGATCTTCTGGGGAGGATGCTTTGTGCAAACTCTATGTTGATTCTTCAGACCTGTTTCTTCCGTTCTTCTTCATACATTCACACATTCATTCTTTACACCTTTCCTCTTCTCCTGTACAAAAAACAGGGTATGCTGAGGTCCAGCACCATTTCACACTACATAGTTAGATGATGGAGAATTGATGATGGAGAATTAATCAGGATTGTGCTGGTACGGCTGTACCAGGAGCTCCAACTTCCTTTTCTTTCTTTGAGTGTTTGCATGTATTCCAAGGTTCCATGCATTTTGCAATAAGGTGGCTTCCCTTGGTTTGCAAGTATAGGACCAATGGCCCATCAATCATCGTTGGGTTTTTTTAGTTCCGCCCCTTTCCCCAGGGTTCAGGAAGGAAAGGGAGCCATTTTAGCTCAGTTGTACAGTTGAAAGCTTAGCTACAGGATGTGAATTAGCTCCACCTGTAGAGAAGCTTCGTTTCTTATGAAATTCTGGGGGAAAACAGTCCCAAAGCTCTGGCTGGGGAATTTACAGCCTCACAGCTTTAAGAAAAAGCCTTTAAAAGAAACAGTTTACAGCGCAACCCTTGTTGGGGTTAAAGAAACAAACCCACAACATTCGTGGAGAAGATCCAAAGGACTCCAGCTGGAGAATCTACAAAGCCTTGACTGGTAGGTCTACTCAGGACCCAAGAAGCAGTTTGGAGCCGGGAGTAGAGTCCACACCAGCAAAGTTTAGAAAGTAGATTGCCAAAGGGTTTTCCTCTTAAAGAAAAGAAACAGTTCACGAAGCCAGTTGCCTGTCCCTTGTGGACAAGATTAAGAAAGCCTTGAAGTATTTGTTTGACTTGTTGAAGATCTGAGAAGTATTTGATTGTTTTGTTGAAGACCTAAGCAATAATAAAGGACCTTGTTAAACCTTTCAAGCTTCTAAAGACTTTGTATAGGAAAATCCTTAGGGCCTCTCAGCTGAGGCACCCTGGCTTCCCACTGCGCACAAAGAGCACGTCCTGTTCAAAGGCCAATTGCTATAGGCCCAGCGCATGACAGCACAAGGATCGTGCCAAATTGGGACAGTTAGAGAGCTTCCCTTGAAGTCCTTCCAACTGTTCAGTTCTTTGATTCTATGATCCAAAGTTTGGCAGGAACCGACAGCTGACCACCACCTACAATGGGTGAGGCTTGCACAAAGGACTACCAAGAATGTTGTGATCTTAGGAACCAGCCCTAATAAACTATTCTTCTAGTTGATTCCAGAAGATTTTGTTGAAACCATTTTATAGATTGCAGTCCTCCGCATATATCTTCAGGCTCCAGACGGCCGTTGAAAGCAGCCAGGTTTCTGCCAAATCTGGCTTAATCTTCTGAAAAAGTTGTCCCAGCAAGGAGAGTACAAGGTAGTGCTTTTAAAAAAGGGAAAAAAAATACCTCTGAAACACTATCTGCTAATTAATTTGAAAACCAAGACAAGCAAATGCGTCCTGACATTTCGTAAGAGGCAAGCAGAACAGTGTTGCCATATGTTGTCTCCTGTAGAGGATTTATGAAGGGTATACTGCATAAACACATTGCCAATTTTTGACAAACAAACAACAAAAAGAGCCAATATTTTAAGTATTTGGCACTTCAAAGGTAAGCCAAACTATCAAGAGACAGGAGCACCTAGCTCTGTTTTCATCAAATGCTAAATGTATTATCAATGCGATTATCTGTCCATCTATATATTTATCTATCTACTTATTCCAACTCTATTTTTTCCAGTTTGAATATTTTATTCTTAACTTTCAGACCTCATTTTTTTTCCTCCAAATATTTCTTATTAAACATTTACTGGGAAAGTAGGGGATGGGGGAACAAGGGAAGAAATTATTAATTATTGGTTAATTGCATTTTTACAAATGTCTAATACGTCATGAGGAGAAAACAAAAAAGGTGAAGGTTGCTAAGGAATGAAGAGTTATTTTCCAATATTTTCATTATTACAACAAGTCTTCATCTCTATTTCTTTAACACACTTTACACAATATAGTAAGAATTCTAACCATTTTAATTTTAATTCCATTGGTTGTGTCTTCTTCTCACTTTGTCTCCTGGTTTTCATATATTATTTTTCAATTCTTCTTCAATAGAAATTAAACTAATTTTCTCATAGCAGATTATTTCACATTAATTTTTTCTTAAACTATTTATTATTAATTTTGACAAAGAAGGTTCTATAATTTTCATTTAGATTGCTAATAGGTTAGTGTTTTATTTATCATCACCATGCTGTCTCTCTTTCTGTATTTACATCAGCTGTGACCAAGAGTGCTGCAGAATTTGAAGAGACACAAATGGAGGAGGAAAGGGAGAAACGTGTCAAGAAGAAGGCACATCGAGCCAACCCTGACTAGGATTGCCTTCCACCTGGAAATTGATGTCCTCACTGTGGAAGAGCATTCAGTCAAGAATAGGCCTCTGCAGTTACCTATGGACCCACCACTTGGAAGAGAATCATACTCAGAAGACACAACACTTGGACACAAATGATCACCGACGACGACGATAATGATGATTTACATCAAATATATTTTCCATCAGTGGTTCTCAACCTGTGGGTCCACAGGTGTTTTGGCTTACAAGTCCCAGAAATCCCAGCCAGTTTACCAGCTTTTAGGATTTTTGGGAGTTGGAAGCCAAAACATCAGAGACCCACAGGCTGAGAACTACTGTTATAGATGCTTATTCCATTGAGAGTTATGAAGATTTTTTGAAAACAACAATCAAATAATCAGATTAATTAAAGCACTGCAAATGACAGAAAATAACACTACAACTTTATTTATTTATTTATTTATTTATTTATTTATTTATTTATTTATTTATTGTGTCAGGAGCTAACCAAAACAGTTGTATTGCATTAAAACAAACAAACAAACAAAACACAAAGTTTGCAGACTTGGTATTCTATTAAGTGTCCTTTGACCTATAGCTGGCCACTTGGAGTGCCTCTGGTATTGAATTGACCAGAAACACTACAAATAAAATCAGCTCAATTTTTTGTTATCCTTACATCAAATCAGGACTTGAACTCAAACTTGGAACTTTTTAGGGGTTTATAAATTTGTGAGGTTTAAAGGTTGTAGTTGGAAAAAAGGATTTTTTTCTGGGGTTTGTTAGAAGTAAGCTGGATGAACTCACTACACACATAGCCTAGAACCTGGGTTTAGTTGTTAAACATGTAGTCCCCAAGCAATGGTAACAATTATCCACAACAAACTCTGAGAGATGAGTCAAAGAAATGATCATGAATGAAGTCCATTTATGGAAGGAAGGGAAACTGGGAAAAATCAGATAGTATTTGCTGCAGATTCTTGGAACTGCATGCAAAAGTAAAGGCCACTCAAACTACATCAGATAGGAATGTTAGTTGCATTCTTATTAAATATAGCTCACACATATTTTGTATGATATATAGATTTCATTTATAGATAACTAATTGGTACAGAAGGTCTTTTCATTGGGGCTGTATCGAATGTCTATTTATACTTGTATCATTATTTATATATGTCAACTGCTTTTAAAAATCTTTTCTATATTAATGTTTTGAATGTGTCAACTGTTTTGAACTTTTGTGTTTGCCTTTGTTGTAGTATGATTTGATTTACAATCAAACAGTCAGAACCTCTTTGGATCCAAAGTTTTTGAAGCACCTCTGATGAATGGAAGGGCCTACATACCCTAAAGGCACCATATCTTATTTGATCCTGGAAGCTCAGCAGGAAGCCCTGGTTACTACTTGGATGCTGTAGGCAATATTTCAACAAAAGCAACTGGAAAAAACCACCTATGAGTTTTCCTTGCTTGAGAAAACCCAATGAAGGTGCAGAGACACAAAAAATCTGACCTTGGTCCCTTTTCCCCAAACATTTCAGGCTACAACTTCCAGAGCATGGGAAAATATGCTTTTTGGACTACCGCTTGCTGGAGGATTCTGGGAATGGCAGTCCAAAAACAAAAACCTTTCTCAAGGGCAGAAGAACTGCCAAGGAATATCAGAGACTATATTTCAGAAGAAGAGACTGACAAAACCATGTCTGAATGTTCCTTGTGTGAAAACCCCCCATGGAATTCATGGAGATCCCATAAGTCAATAGGCAACTTGAAGGTCACATATTTTGGAGAAAGAATTCTGATTTTGGGATTGACTCAGAACAGATGAACTGCACTCTGCCATCTTTCCAAGCACTTATATCCAATATGATGTCTGCATTAGTGTACATTTGTTATTGTTATTGTTCTGCTTTCAAGTCATTTTTTTTTACTTATGTTGATCTAAGACAAACATATCATGATGCTTTCTTGGCAAGATTTGTTCAGAAGGCTTTGCCATTCCCTTTGGAGGAGGGCATGTTAATTCTTTGGTGAGACTAGGTTCAAGATCTGAAAACCATTTGTCCAAGCTCAAAGATCTTTTGCTTACTGGTCTTTGATTCACATCAGGGTCATCCATGTTTGGGGCACAGGGTTTCCAGTTCAGAAATGGTGCTCAAGGGAGGCAATTTTTCCAGTGGCTCTTCTGGTTCCTTAAACTACCACCTTATTACATTGAGAAATTTCCCAATCGTAGGAAACTTCAGCCTCTTTTCAAGCATGGAGGAGCACTGAGTTCATCACATGAATTAAACTACTTCGAGCTGTCATGCATAGCCCTCTGTGGTAGAAAAGAGACAGAAGTGTCTCATCACACTGAGAAATTTTCCCCTTGTAGGACACTTTAGCCTCTTTTCTAGCAAAGAGAGGCACAGAGCTCATCACATGTTCCAGGGTTGAAATGTCTTGAAAGGAGGGAACTCTGAACATGGACCAGCAATTATGTTCAGAGCTCCTACCTCTTGTTGCACTCTACTCCAGTGGTTCCCAACCAGTGGTTCCCAACCTGAAGGCCAGATGTTTTGGCCTTCAACTCCCAGAAATCCTAACAGCTGGTAAACTGGCTGGGATTTCTGGGAGTTGTAAGCCAAAATACCTGGGGACCCACAGGTTGAGAACCAGTGCTCTACTCCCATGTCTACAACTGAACAACTGGTGGGATGGGAACCATCAAAAGTTTCTTATCCTGTTTAATCGCTCAGCCACAGCAGTCTCTTGTGGCCTTTGGGGTTTGATGCAGAGTAATAGGATCCCATGGAAAGAAATTGTTTTAATCTGGATCACTTCCTCTTATATCCTATGGGGCTTGGAGGTAGAACAATAGGATCCCATGGAAAGAAGTGATTTTAACCTGGTGTCAGTCTCCTTTAATGTAAGGGGCTTTGGGCAGGGCAAGGGATCCCTTAGTTTTGGATGTTGTTGTTTCTCCTGATTAAAAACAAAAAAAGTAATACTGACCTTGTGGAGAGGAATGTATTGTCAGCTCTTAAGTTTATATGTGTGTGTGTGATGGGAAAGCAGAGTGTGAAATGGGATTGCTGACTATATAAGAGGGGCAATTCTCTACTCTTAAAGGAATGATCACCCATGCAATCCCCTCTCAATGTGATGAGGTGGTCAGTGTCCATTATCTGGGATCATGCCAATGATAATTGCTCACAGGACCCAAGTTTGGGATAAATACAGTGATAATCATTTCAGCTCAATATAGTGTAAGCCTCCATCTCAAATTCCTAATGGTTTGTAATTCAGGAGAGATAAATTGATTTTGCTTTTAATCACTTGTTCATTTCCTGTGTGGGTTAATCTAGCAATGTAGCAGCAAGAGAGTAATATTAAACATATGACATTAAGCTCTGGATAAGAAATGGGGTTATTATACCTGAATTCCTGTCCTGCAGGTACTGCATTGTTTAAAAACTATATTTTGAAAGTTTGTTCTTTAGAGCAGAATATCACTTTTGATGCTAAGAAGCCCTGAACTAATCTGAACATCATTTGGAGTTGTACAGATGGGCTATGACAAATGAACAGTGTATACAGAGTTTCTTATAGCAGTTTTTAAATGAATGTTAGCAGTTTTTCAGAAAATCCAAGGTCAATATAATTTCTAGCCACTTAAGCTCCTTGGCATCTGTTGGAAGATTAAAGGCTGGCTTTGGCTGAAGTTTAGCAATTAGTGTCTTGTCTTCCTTCAAGCTGAGATCCAGAATTTTACCAAGGACATTTCTAAATGACACAGGTTTATCAGCTTAGTATCAAGTCCCTGGGCGTCCTGACTCAAACAATTCTGCGACTACAGTTTATTGTAGTTGGTGAGCATTCTCTCTTTGAGATTCCTAGCATCTTTTCCCATCGAAATGACGGTTCCTAAGACCCATCTGAGAGATACAATATTAAATAGATTTAATTCATTAAATGCCAGCTAATGCATTTAACTTTCAGGATGGCAAGAATGAAAACAGTATTATAGGAGTTAGGATAATAACAAATAATAATAATAATAATAATTATTATTATTATTATTATTATTAACACAACAAGATGAGTTGACAGCAGACACTCTGCTGGCTGTTGTATTGGATCACACGTCGGACACTTCCCAAGTGTCTAGGACTGTGTGATGTATCAGCAAATAATGCATGCAGATCCCAGTAAAGTGGCCTTCTGCAACTGGCAGATGGTAATTTTGTCAGAACCAATTGTGTTTAAGTGCAGGCCAAGGTCTTTAGGCACTGTATCCAGTGTGCCGATCACCACTGGGACCACCTTGACTGGCTTGTGCCAGAGTCTTTGCAAAGTCTTAAATATTTAAATTATTATTATTAACTTAAATCTTTAAATAATAATAATAATAATAATAATAATAATAATAATAATTATTATTATTATTATTATTATTATTATTTAGGGAAACATCAAGTATTACAATCAAAAATTTCAATGATTCAGGAGACATTGGACCAAGTAGCTAACAATGAGAGGAAGAAGACAATAAGGAAGCATCTGGAGAGAAAGACCCATGGTATCAAATGTGTCTACATCAGGGGTCCTCAAACTTTGTAAACAGAGGGCCAGGTGACAGTCCCACAAACTGTTGGAGGGCTGGATTATAATTTGAAAAAAACATGAATGAATTCCTATGCACATTACACATAAATTATTTGTAGTGCAAAAAAGCTTAAAAACAATACAATAATTAAAATGAATAACAATTTTAACAAATATAAACTTATTAGTATTTCAATGGGAAGTGTGTGCCTGCTTTTGGCTGATGAGATAAGATTGTTGTTGTTGTTGTTGTTGTTGTTGTTGTTGTTGTTGTTGTTGTGTGCTTTCAAGTCATTTCAGACTTAGGTTGACCCTGAGCAAGGGCCGGGTAAATGACCTTGGAGGGCCGTATTTGGCTCCCGGGCCTTAGTTTGAGGATCCCTGGTCTACACTAATGCAGAGAGCACCGGGAATAAACAAGATAAACTTGAACTCTTAGTATATGAAGGCAATGTAGCTTAATCATTGGTGGAATTAATTGCATGATTAGGATACAGTAATAGAGGTCTATACCCTATTCCAAAAGTACATTCTGAAGAGAAAAGGCGGAA